GCAGCTTTAAGAAGAGGGGCCTGGTGGAAGTTTTTAGGCCATTGGGAGTGTGCCCTCAAAAGGGACTGTGGGACTCTGGCCTCTTTTTCTCTCTTTGATGTCTCAGTTATGAGGTGAATAGTTTTGCTCGCCCACAGTGCTCCTTTCTTGTATTCTACTCACCCTACCCCCAGAGGTCTAAAAGCAATAAGTCTGCCCAGTCATCGACTGACACCTCCAAAACTTTGAGCCTAAATGAACCTCTCCCAAGTTAGTTATTTCAGGTATTTGTTCCACTGAGGGAAAGCTGAATAATCCAATGACCAATCACTGAGTCTCTTGGAGATATTACTCTTAGAATGACAATTTTGATTTCTACTTGATGAATTTTATTTGTCAAGAAGGGTTGACAAATGGTAATTCCTCTCAAGTTTAATTCAACCCCAGTGATAAATAAAATTGTCATCTTTGGGACCATATTTTATCCAACACTAAAAGTAGCTGAACCTCCCAGTAGCTTCATTTCCTTGGCCACAAAATAAAAGACAAATATCTGTCTTTCTGATTTGTAAAGACAGATAAGATAGCATCTGTAAAGCACATTGTAATGACTAGTCACATGAATTAATTTATTCAGGAAGATATTGAGTTTGCATTATAGTAGAAGTTACCTGCTCTGCCTCATATTAAGAACAGTCCTTAAGGCATCAGTGAATTTTTTGGCTAAGAGTAGTAAATCTCACAGATGTGTGGGAAAATGAAAGCCAGCAAATTGCAAGTGTCACCAGTCCTAGCTTCTGGGTCCACAATAGACATTGCTAATGGATCCCAGCTTGTGTGTGCACCCCCACCCCCCATTGGCTGGAGACTCAAACATAGTAGTTCAGGCAATCCCATTATAGCATGTTTCTGTTAATAGCCTAGGACAAAGGTCCATAAACTTTTTTTTTAAATGGGTCAGAGAGTAACAGTTTGTGCTTTGTGGGCCACTTGGTCTCTGATACAGCTACTCAACTCTGCCTTCCTAGTAGGGAAATAGCCACAAACAATGTGTAAATGAATGGAAGTTCCTGTGTTCCCGCAAAAATGCAATTATAACCACAGGCTAGAAGCAGTCTAAAATCTGTTGTCTCTGGACCTAAAGTTTCTCCTGAAATCAATGGGAGTCACTGTAATAGCAAGGATTGCTGACATCATTTCAGGAGAGTTGGCAAAGGTGGTATTTTAGCAGCCCAGCAAAGGTGAACTGATATAAAAATGGGCCCCAGACTAGTGATGTCCTTTGCTCAGTACTATCTGTAATCCCATGGAATCAATTTTTCTCTCAGCTCTCAGAGATGGCAGAGGTAAGTGCATCCCAGTTCTCTTGGGCCTCAGCTGATAAAGTATTTCTGTTCGTGGAGTTTGTGTTGATGTGAAAATACACCAGCTGGTGTATCCTGCCCAGATGACTTAGAGTGCCTGTCGTGTTAGGTTACACTGCTGGTCTTTAGACTTGAGTTTGAGGTTCCTCCACACTTATGCTCAACCTCCAAAAGGTGCTGCTCATTGCCTCCAAATTTAAAGTAGCCCCAGGATGTTGCTTCCCCCACAACCATGCAGTGAAATTACAGATTCTTGCCCGTGTCCCACACGGGCAGTGGAAATGGGGTTCCCCTTGGTGGAATGGGCTGGCTGGGAAATGAAAGCTAAGAAAAATAGAATGTCGGAAAAAAACACAGAACACAGAAAGTAGTTTCGAAAGCGGGGCAGGACAGACTGGATAGAGCTTCTATACTCTGGCAAAATGGAGCCCATGCTTGCTTTATTTATATGGATGGGGGAGACATCAAAGGCAGGGATAAGGTTTCAAGGGCAGAGTCTTGCTTGTGGTGTCCTGCAGTCAGGAGGTTGATTGACATCTTGCAGGTCACACCCATCTCAGGTGCTGTGTGGGTCCTCTGGCAGAGTTTGAGGGGGAAGTTCACCTTCATCAGGTGATCAATCCCTATGGGGGTGCCATGGGAGAGTCCCAATCCCAGACTTATCCCCTCATTAGGCTACTATGTGCAACACAGTCTACACGCAGCCCACAGAAGGCTCCTGATAACAGATTAGCATATCCAAATATTTCGGTTTCCTCTATAGAATTCTCACAAGAAATCCAATGTCATTTTCTCTTAAATGAGGAGAGACACAAAGAGTTGAGTATGCAACATCTAGCACGTCATTGTACCTTCCTGAGCCACAATATCCTCATCCATAAAATAGAATAATACCTTCCCTACCTACAACATAAATTCACATGCAATTCAATGGCAGCTTTTTCTTTTAAATAAGCCTTATTTATGTCACAAAAGCCACATTATCCATCAAAACCCTTTTCAGACTGGTTTTAACATTGCCATTCCTCTCCACCCACATCGCTGTAATTATTCACATCCTGTGACAAACACCAGGGTAATATAGGAAGAATAAATCTACTAATGCAAACTTCACTCCCAAATCAGAGACATTTATACTAATGAGCATCCTCCTCCTTTATTCTTCAGCTTCTTGTGACAAAGAACATGAAAAGTTCTGCAGATGGATCCAGACTTTCCTTGCCTTGATGACCTAAGGGCCTTTCCAAGTATCCAGCATCAGCAAATCATACAAACATAAAGTAACTTAAATCCTACATGTCTATGCCAAGGAAGGTGACTGTAGAATATTCAAAGACACAAAGGACTGAGTCAGTGACTTTTGCTGGGAAGCATTAGGTAAGAATTATCTACCGACAATAGTTTTGACACAGGCAGAAGATTCCTTCAAGTTTCAGCTAAAGTCCCCTTCAAGAAAAAAATTAGTAATCCATGGTATTATTATAAAATCAAAGCTATTGTTCTTGTTCCAAAGTTCCTAAATTACACGAGGAGAGTATATTTTATTTCTTGGACAAATTCAGATTTGGCAACATTCCCAGAGAATTTTGAAAACATTCATTTCAGAACAATCAAGATTTTCATCATATGTGCTTTTATCAAATGATGGTAAATACCAGCTTTCTGGTGTCAGAAAAAAGATCTGTGGCAATAGCTTTTCCCAAGGTCTCTTAGTTCCTTTGTCTCTCAGTTTCCCTACCTTACAAATCCTGCTTCTGCCTGTGTAAAGTAAGATTTAGAAATATCTGCTTTCCTTCACCATGTTCACAAAAAGGAACAAATGGAGCAATACATATGTAAGAATGTTGAAGTTGAAAGAACCATACAGCAAGGTCCAGGAACTTTTTAAAATTATCTCCTGTAAGTTAAAAATGAAAGATAATTTCTTTGCAAGCAACATTTGTCTCAAAATGATTTCTGCAGTGAAAAAAAAAATCAAATGACTCACTTTTATACCTTCGCTTTTTTTCCCGAATTAAGAGTCTGCTGCTTCTTAATAACCATGGTCTCTGTTCTTCAATAATTTTAGTACTACTAGCTCATAAATTAATAAGGTGACCAACTTTATTGTGAAAAACAGGATAACTGTCATTGCAAGGTACATCATATTTACTCTTTGCAGGGCATGATGATTATAATTTGCATAGTCAAAAATTAGCAGTATGTTTGGCTTTTCCCAACTGAGAAAATCAAGCTGTTTCTGCTCCACTGTTTGTGTCCAGATGTTGGGGAGCCTTTTATTGCATGAAACTCCCAGTGGAAAATCTGAGATCCTGCTCCTTTTCCTTGGAGTGGGGGGTGCCCTATGAGTTTCCTGTGCTGCAGAAATGGAGGATGATCCTCACTAATTTATTTTAGATGGGCCAAATGAAGTGTCAAGGTATCACTCCTATTGGAGAGTCCAGGGCTGAGTCTGCAGGAAGCCCTCACAGGAGCAAGATGATACAGCACCTCAACAGGAGCCATTGTTCCAACCATGAGGGACAATCACACTCTACAGCTTCATGATTCTGGCTGTAGAAAGCACTCACTGCTGGGTGCTGGGTGGGAGATCTCACAAAGTGAGGACCTCTCAAGCATGGAACCCACTGGTCTGTCCTAGGTCTCACGGATCATCTCTCCTCTTTAATTTCTGTTGTGAATGGATTAACTTTATGCACTTCTCCATTAGGAATCCTTTGGACTTCTGAAACGGCTTTGTCTCTCTCAAATAGCTTGCTATCTAAGTTTATATCAAAGGGTTTCTCTTTTATAATCTTTTCTCTGTTGGGTTGCAAGGGCCAAAACTCAAGGAGACAAAAGCTCATCAGTTTCTCTTTTATAATAATCCAACCATTCTAGTAACTAGCTAAAATGGAGAAAGGTGATTAATGGGATACAAATGCCCCACCATACTCCATTAGATCATCTCCTCACATTAGCTGGCACCCTCTGGAGTCTTTTCTAATGGGCAAGAGGCCCCACTGAGGAGCTCTTCTGACTTCCACCTCTTTTTCTCAGGGTCTTGCCCACTGACTAAGCAGCCTCTGCCCATTCATAGGGAGCCAAGGGAAGTGCAGGACTCTCACTGGCAAACAGCCACTTCCACTATTACAAATGTGTTACATTAAGCCCTATATTGCTATGAGATACTGTTTAAAGGGTTTTTCTGAAACCATGTCGATGTGCTATTGGAAGTCATAATAATACATAGAGCGTATATGTGTTTCATCTAGAATTCATGGAAGGCACAATTCCAAAGTAGGCTGATCCCAAAAGCTACAGACATAATAACCACCCCTAAGTCCACCAAAATTCTTCTCAAAGTTATTTGAGCTTAAAGATTTTATAAACTCTCCATAACAATAGTAGAATCATCACTCTTTTTTTTAAAGGGATGATATCCTTCACAATGATATCTCATCTAATTTGACCACAACTCTAAGTGATATGTACTTGTCCAGTGTACTGATGAGGAGATTGAAGCTTGGAATACCTATCCAACCACATACAAACATTTCATATGCCCAACTTCACATAGTCAGTAAATGTGGCAAAATTCTAATCCCATTTATCTGATTTAAAAATATAGATCAGAAACAGACATGGAACTAGTTAACAGTACAGATGCCCACTTACCTCCAGTGGTTGCTGTTAACCCCAAGCACTGGAGCTCTGGTCAGTGTGCAGAGTAATTCCCCAGGAGGGGACTGCCTTGGTCCAGAATCTTGAGTACCACTCTTGGTAGTCATGTAATCCTCCACATATTCACTGTTTAAATAGAAGGGCAAATAGAGGGTTTTAAATAGAAGGTTTTTATTAGTGATTTCCTTGTACAGTTACCCTGAAGACTAAATGTAAGCATTTGTGAGTTCCTTGGGATGATATCTCAACCTGGCAAACAGAGATATAATTGTCATCAATCCAATGCACTACTGGTTAGACCCTCTAGTACATAACATATCACATAAGGCTACATATTTCCATGAGGTCCAATTTTAGATTTGAGAATTTCTGTGTTGCAGTCTTATAACTTCAGAAGAATTCATGGGAATACCCATACAACCACATACAGACATTTCAGGACATTCTCATCTTTTATAGATTACAAACATGATTTTAAAAACCACATGAATTAGTCATAAGACATCAGAAGAATATTCTTTTTTTTTTTTGGTACTGGGGATAGAACTCAGGGGCACTTAACCACTGAGTCACATCCCCATCCATTTCTGTATGTTTTATTTAGAGGCAAGGACTTACTGAGTTACTTAGGGCCTCGCTAAGTTGCTGAGGCTGGCTTTGAACTTGTGGTCTTCCTGCCTCAGCCTCCCTAACTACTGGGATTACAAATGTGCGCCATAGCACCCGGCCAGAAGAATATTCTTTCAGTTGTGCTATGGAATAACATCTTGTAGAAATTTTATTTTTTCACTAGACTGTGAGATATGAATCAAATTGTTCAAATGTTTTAAGTTAAATTTGTTAAATTTTAAGTGTTATACATGTTTATGGCATATGGGTGATTTTGGTTTCAAATTAAAAATCAGAACACAGGTTGCTGGTTACATGACAGAATATTGGTACAGTTCAGGCAATTAAGTGTAGTCTTCTGTACAAAGCCAACTGTCCCCACAACTGCATTTATTGTGCATGGGCTCATAATAAATACATATTTGTTCACAAAGTACTAACACTCTATCAAACTACTTCCTCATTTAAGTTAGGCAGAAGCATGTATGTCTTGAATTTCTAAAGTAAGAATGGTCCAGATAATCTTCAGGGCCTGTTTTCAGTATGTGGAGTTCAATAGTGATTTAGAAAGAAATTAATTAGGTTTGCTTGATGTTTTGTTGAAGGAAAGAAGAACAGTTCAGATGTGCTGAAAATAAACCTAAAAAGATTTGTGATATATATTTATTTATTCTTTCACCAAATACTTATCAAATGCCACCAGCATCTCTACCTCGGCAAATGCTCAAGGACTAGGTGATTCACAAATGCCATGTTATATAGGTATATGTCAGTAAGTATACTCCATCTGAGAATCTAAGTACTCCTCACAACAAATGTGACTACATTTTGCTATTAAACTCTACTTAAGTTTTAAACCACATCGATTTAGTGCATTTTATAGAAGAATGTGATCTATCTCTTGATAATTTGATTTATGATATGAATATTAAGCATTATCAAAATGCTAAACAACTTGCTTTTTAAATCCACATATAAAACATTTTAAGCTTTAGTTGAGCTATGCGTTTATTCAATCTGTGTTGTCAAATGCATTCTTAAATTCACAACCTAGAATTAATATTTCCATCCCAAGCATTTTAAACTAAATCATTTCTATTTTTATTGGAGATGAAATCCACTCTGGCACTAATTATGTCTGTGTTCAATTTTAAGCATTCAATTATATTTGTGGTTTAGATCAAGCATTCAGCTCTTGATAGCTAAAAATGTATCCATACCCTTTCCTTGTCTTCATTTTCTGCCCCTGTGGTACCATTAATCATCATTAGGGTAGGGTTTTGATCAAGGAGTGAAGCATGTAGATAATGGAAACACCAATATAAAGGTAAGAATTATGATGTGAAATACTGTGTTGATGAATTATTTCCAGCTAATATTCCAGAAATAATATAGTCCTCTATCTGCTGAATATCTTAGAGCTTACAAAACAACATGGGTGTAAGCTGAAGTCCTGCACATATGGGAAATGCCATCTTTAGCAATTGCACCATACTTTAAAATTTTTGTTACATGTACTGGTATGCAATTTTTATAGCTTCTGTATCAGGTAACATACTGTGCATACTGTAAAGCTGCAGATATCTAATGCATGTGACTCAGGCAAATGCTTATTTATACCATAACAATAAAAAAATGGCCAGAAAATTATTAGGATGCTTGGGTGCAGTGTTTGAAACCTGAAGTGCAAAAAAAGAATGAGGCCTATCCATTGGGATGTTATAAATTCAGTTAAAATAACACAACATACAGTGTGAGATTACAAAATCAGGATTTGTACATCAATATTTATTAAGTGCCTATCAGAAAGGGTTGAGTATATCAAAGGTGAATGGAAATATTTCTTGATGTCAAGATTCTCACATATTGATGTGAGAATACATATTGATGTCAGGATATGTACATCAATAGTTTCTAATTCTGTTTGGAAGGTTTTATCATAGAAGTCTATATAAATTACTATAGGTGCAAAGAAAATGGGGTAGTGAACTTCTTGGAACAGCCAGAGCAGCTTCTCAGAAGAGATGACATTTTGAAGGTGGGCTTGAAGAAATAAAACAAGCTCACTAAGGGGAAAAATGAGAAGTGGTATTTCAGGAAGGAAAGATCAACTGAAAATTAGAAGCCAGGGAAAGAAGACAGAGCTTGAAGAATTGTACATGGTTCCCAAAGGCTGGTTGGGAGAATGGAAGAAGCTGAGTATATTAAGAGGTGATTGCAGAGTTATCAGAGCAAATCATGCTAGACAGGTTATATTTTATCCTGGGGGAGGGTGGGCACTTAAGGCATTAACCAGGAAAGTCAAGTCACAGATTTGTTTAAACATATTACTATGGCAGCCAATCAGCTGATGAGAACAGTTGGTAAATATAACCCCTTTAGTACTTGGGAATATGCAGAATGCTTCCTCAGTGGACACCCTATTGACAGTGACAATTAGCCAAGCAAGAGTGCCCTTGTTTGGTCTTGATATAACATATAATCATCCTAATATATCTAAGAATGTGTGTGTGTGTGTGTGTGTGTGTGTAAAATTCATTTAACTCCTAGTCATTGGTGTCAACATACCTTATATACAAACAGAGATATGATAAATTGTGGTATAAAGGTGTATTAAGAATTGTAATGCAAAAAAAGAGAGCTCATATATAATAGCATAATTTGGTGTAAACATACTTTATTTACAGAGTTACGAAAAATTGTGCTGTGAATGGATAATTATGAATGTAATGCACTCCACTATTGTCATGTATGTAAGAAATAAATTTTAAAAACAACAAAAAAATAAAGTTTAAGGTCTAAAATGTAAAAAAAAATTGAAAAATATTCAATGTATACTCACTATGAACTATGCACTGTAATAGATTCAGGGAAGACAAAGCAAACAAAACAAAACTCCTGACAAACTGTCCAGTATCACATATCATTTATTCATGTATTAAATAATCCTGCCATGGTTTGAATGTTTTTTCCCTTCAAAACTCATGTTGTAATTTAATTTTCATTTAATTCCCCTCATGTGTGGCACAAATACCACTATAAAAGGGTGAGTTCTTCCCCCTTCTCTCTCCCTTCTGCCTTCTGCTATTTGAACACCTTGCCTTGCCCCCTCTGGAGGACTCAGCATGCAAGGCGCCATCTTGGAATGAGAATCACCAAACGTGTTGGCACTTTGACCTAACACTTCCCTGCTCCAGAACTGTTAGCCAATACATTTATATTCTTTATAGATTGTCCAGTCTCAGGTTGTCTAACAGCACAAAAACAGACTTCGGTAATTTAAAAAAACATCTGCGGATCTGATATGTGCCATCTACTGTTTTAGGAGGCACCTTGATAAGTAAGCAGGCAATATGTTAAGATAAAGATAAGTGCAGAATGAAGCAGGAGAGCACTGGACTGGTTTACCAGGACACTTCTGAGAATTTTCTAGTGGGGTGAGTTCTGAACTGAGGCAGAAGGATGTTAAAAGTTGCCAGAAGAAGAACTGGAAGGGAAGGGCTATGGCCTGAAACCTCAAAGCAAAGGAAGCAGCATTTCTTAGGCCTGAGGGGAGAGGGAACTTGGTACACCCTTTAGTCTATGTGCAGGAGTTCAATGTGGCTGTAGAAAACAGTATAAGGCAAGAAAAGGGAGACGGAGGTCAAAGAGAGGCAGGGAACAAACTGTGAAGAGCCTTGCACCTGTTATGGAGTTGGGATTTGACTGATCTTGAGATATAATGGCAAATCCAACAAATGTGATCTCTTATCTCTGAAAATCTACAGTTTGGTGGTAGTGACAGGACATGGTCAGAAGTACATTTTAGAAGGTTGTCCTGGGTCTCTGTGGAGTCTGTAGAGAACAGACTGGAGTGGTGAGAAGTCAGGGGGAAGGCCAGAAGCAGAGAGAGCTGTCCTGTTGGTGGATATGTTCCCAACAGCCAAAAGAGGGCCTGGAGCACAGTAGGTGTCCAATAAATACAAACATGAGTAGATGAGGTCAAAGGTAATCCTTGTTTGTTGCTGGGCAGGCTACCTATTCAGCTGCATCCAAAGAAGATAACTGTACTTTCCTAATAACTATCTATAGGGTTAAACTTTGCAGTGTTTTCTTAAAACCGTGGGCTACTTATTTTGTTTTCCCAAAGTAAACATTGGTACACGTTCCCTCAGGGACCTATAAACAACAGTGGCTAACCTCACAGAGTATTAATCAAAGTAGCGTTTTTTCTCTTTGGCAATACCCACTACAAATTATAATTTTTTTTCTTATTTTCTTTTTAAAAGTGTCTTGTATAAAATCTACAGGTCTATTTCAAATCCTTTTGCAAATACCCAGAGTCATCTTTGAGGAAGACCATAGGATTTAAGGACATGAGACCAGGTTTTACTTCTGGCTTCTTAGTGGTTCTGTGGTCACAAATGAATTATCCAACTTTCTTGCGCTTAAAAATTTTCTCACTGGCAAAAGGAGCATAGCAATATGTATTTCGTGTGGTTGCGAAAATTAGATGAAATCATGTACAATGCAAAATA